GCCTCATCCAGCCTGGCGTTAAAGACCCCTAGGGATGGGGCCTCAACCACCTCCCTGGGCAACCTATTCCAGGGTCTCGCCACTCTCATGGGGAAGAACTTCTTCCTCACATCCAGCCTGAATCTGCCCACTGCCAGCTTTGCCTCATTCCCCCTAGTCCTGTCGTTACTTGATATCCTAAAAAGTCCCTCCCCAGCTTTCTTGTAGGCCCCCCTAAGATACTGGAAGGCCACAATAAGGTCACCTGGGAGCCTTCTCTTCTCCAGACTGAACAGCCCCAACTCTCTCAGTCTGTCCTCGTAGGAGGGCTGCTTCAGCCCTCGGATCATTCTGGTGGCCCTTCTCTGGACATGCTCCAGCAGGTCCACATCCCTTTTGTAATGGAGGATCTGGATGCAGTACTCAAGGTGGGGCCTCACTCCTAAACTCACTTGACTCAGCAGTTGTGAAATCTTTTGATACCATATAATGCCCTTATTGAAGCAGGAGGTTTTGTCATTTGGCATCGTGTCCCATAATAATACAATAGGAGAGAATGCATGTGTGTTCCTGTCATTGAGAGCCCACTCTGACCTTCTTTCCCAGTGTTAATAAATTGCTTTACAAATTAAATCTTTTGTTAAAATATAATTTCCATTAGATATTGAGCTTCAGGGTAATTTGTCAGTGCAGAAAATTACTTAGATAGTGTTCCGTGATATTCCCCTTCAACTGAACACTTGAAAGACTTCTTTTATTTCCCATCTTGCCAGATTAATTGCACAGGATAAAAATGGCATTTTCAACATAAAGAAGTGAAGAATATTAAAATCTTCGTGCTGGTGGTTTTCATGCTCTTTTAAAAGCATCAGTGAAATTAATTTAATTACAGTCATATGCCTCAAACTTCCAATTTGTTGGCGGGTTCTTTTCATCCTCACTAGTCAATTTGAAAGCATATATTAGTCTAAAATACTAGTTATTCCAAATTGCATGGCTTATAAAAAATGCTTTTCTGGACCAAATATACAAACTCTCCGGACAAATACTTGGACATTTTGGGGTGCAATACTGAGCTGCTCATGCAGCACTATTTATGAATTTATATATTTATTTACTAAAGCCGTCATTTTCATTGTATGTCTTCGATGTAGTATGTGATTTAGGGGTTGTTGGCTTTCCAAATAGAGTCCTATATAGATTTTTTTAATTTATTTATGGCACTCCACTGTTTCAGAACAAACCCCTTAATAAAATGTCAACTGCCAAAAAACTGCTTACCTACTACTCATCTGCAATCTTACCTTTAGTCTTGGTGCATGCCGCTGTAGATTCTCCAGCTTCCAACAGTGGATTAGAGAGTGTCTGACTGGCATCTTCTGCAAAGAGAAGCTGCTTCCTTCAGTAGCAGCTGGGACTCTGGATGGTGTTTCAGAGACTGATGTGGGAGTCTGTCTTATCTTTGTCATGCAGTCGTGCCTATGTCCTGGATGTGCTGGTGTGCTGCCAAGGACTTTGCTCTAACTTCTTTCTCTTCGGTCCCATGTCCAAGGCTGATGTTGTGAGACAGTGAATTAATTTTTTCTACTTTTTCTTCTTTCTCATCTGGGCAGTATTTTGGGGAAATACAAGTATAGATCTCACTCTCCATGCCTAAGGCTTGACATTGTGTCCGAAAGCAGATCAGGCAAGTGCTCAACAGTTGTTGAGCAGGTGGACCTTGACACTACTCTGGGTATGTCCCCGTCAGAGCAAGGTTGATGAATTTTACCCAGTTCTGGAAAGAACAGAATTGGGCTAGTAATCTACTGATTTCTGAACAGAAGTGAATCAGAACATAGGGTCATATCATCAAATCTTTGCAGCAGGCTGTCAAAACCACATCAGTGTGGTTTGTTTTCAGAGTTTCTGCACGTCCATGTATTTTTAACGTTCATTCAAATATTCCTGTCCTCACTTATCTGTCTCTTCAGTCTTTCCTTTTTGACTAGAGAAAGAAATCTGACTCAGCAGCATGTGATGACTTTCTTTTAGTCATATTGGCTTTCTTCTTCAAGACTGACACTGAACAGTGCTCCTCCAGCCCTCGAATATGAGTTCTCTGTTTCAGCAAGCTGTTAACATTTTGGCATCTGATAGTTCCCCCCTACATTATTTTTTAATCTCTGAGTGCCTGCTACAGCTTTTTCCTCTGTGACTTGGGGAAGTCAGGAGGATTGGTCCCCTGGCTTTTCAGGTTGCTTCCTCATTTGAGTGCCTTTTTGGGGTGTTCTTCCCAGCACTAGTAAGCTGTGGTAGGAACAGTAGAGCAGTTTTGATGTGTTGTTCTCCATTCCCCATGAAATGCTTTTTATTGTTGTTTAGCTGAGTTCACTGTTTTGTCATGTGTTTTTTGAGCTTATTCTTCTTGTTGTTGCTCTTTGCATTGCTCCTTCCTATTTCAGCCTCTAATTTTCACTTCCGTAATAACTTCGAGAGTTCTTATTTTGCGTGCTGTCTCGTCAGGGTTTAATTTATGGTTTTCCATGTATTCAGCGTGTTTGTTATCTTGGCCCATTTATAACTTGAGAGGAAAGAAGTTTTTTGCTGAATTCTCATTTAGGCTTGTCTTAAATCTTAGTCCAAGTTTCCTGCATGTTTTACTTGACCTTCCAGAAATGCTGGCAAGATCCTTGAGGATGGATGCTCCTGCATTCTACCAATGAGCTCCTCTTAAAGTTCAGGAGCCAACTTGTTCATCTTCCTCTTCTGCATACTGACCCTGCAAAATGGCTCTTGGTTCCTATTTCCGGAAGATTTCAACTGCTGTAATATTTCATAGTGTGATCTTCTAATTAGTAACGATAAAGTTCAAGGTAGCTTTTTCACATCCTTATCCTACTAAAGGCATGAGTCAAGTTGGAATGAAACAAAGCCAGCCTTTCAGGCCTTGAGCAGCAGGACCGCAGAAAGCCCTTTTGAAGAAACTGAGGTCTGCACATGTGGTCCTGATGCCCTATCTGATGACTTTGATCATGCTAGATGATTTTGACCAAGTTTTACAGTGGGTTGAGGAGACCTGAGGAATGCATGGTTCTGGTGAAAATTAAAAGTAAAGGAAAAGTAACTGCCTAGTATTGGGGAAGAGATCCTTTTCCTTTCTGATTTGGGTGGCAGCCATTATGACCATTTAGTGTGTTTTCTCGCTGGTCTACTCACAGGCCTATCTGAGTGAGCTCTCAGAGCCGTTTCCTTACCCAAACAAGAAGGCAACACGCTCATAGGATGTGTCAGCCCCTTTTGGTTTCCTCATTCTCATACTGAGTCTATTTTTCCATTTTAATTCCAGGCTGATACATCCTCTGTTAAGTTGCGTACTAAAATTTGCTGTCCTTAAATTCTTTTTGTTTCCAAATATTCCAGGTTACAATATTTTTGTTTACAGTCTGACCCTCCGGGATTTTCATCATGGTTCCATGAGTAGGAACTGCAGTTAATTACTCTTGGGATGTAATTACCTGTAACTCCACTGGCGCTTGGTGTGCTGTCTTGGACTTCTAACACTGTTAGAAATTAATTTTCCTGGTTCTCTTTTCTCCCTTGGCCATCCCCCAGTGTGCTTTGTGCTGGTGCAAGTGATAGTTGTGGCAGTGCAATGGCCTCTGCCAGCAGTTGGTGTGCCCAGGACTCTATTTCAATGAACAAGGATCATCAGGCAGTTCTGGTCTGTCAGCTGGTGGGATATCCAAGCACAGAGCTTCAGTGTTACATCCAGTCTGCGTTCAGCCTCTTGCTTCTCAGCTCCGTTTTCTCGGTTGTCTCAGCAAGACAGACAACATCACTGGTTTCCTGAATGGCCTCCTGTGATGATGTGACCAGGAGCACAGGTAGGTTTTCACACTGAAAACCTCTGAGGAGTTTCCTCCTCCTGCGCAGCCGTGGCCCCGGGTGCTGCCCCATCCTTGCGCTTCTTCCGGCTGCCTTATAAACGTTGTTTCGAAGAATTTTGGAAGTTTTTTTTTTAAATGGTTCTACATCATTAAAGTATTTGCATTAACCCCACGCTTGACTTTCTTACACTGAAATGGGGGCATTTGTGAGGACTGGTATTGCCTGAGTAGCACGGGCTGTGAGATGCAAGCGTGTATCTATAAGGATGAGCTGCCAAGATGTAAATTAAAAGGAAATGGGAAGCTGAATTCCAAAGCTATTTTACAGTCTTTAGTGATGTTGTTAGTATTCATAAAAGTTTAACTAGATTGAAGGTGTGTACATCTTCTGACCATACTTGTGATAGTTTTACAGAAGATATGTAAAAATGTTTTCTGACTGTTTAAATTGTCATTTTTTTGAGAGCTTTTACTCTCTGTTTGGAACAGGCTTCAGAAATTCGTCTCAATAATCCATTAATTAGAAATGATTTCTCCTCTTCATTTCCAAATATCTGTAGCACACTGCACTTAGCATGCTACTTATATTAGGAATAATAACCTAACCCAATAGGGTTCCTGACCAGATAATTGAATGGAAACATTTAAGTGGGTTTCAGATCAAGCTTTTAAACACTTACAGCCAGTAAGAGCAATAATTTTAATTTGCTGTTTTGCACTGTAAAATATTTCTTCCCAGAGTAGTTTGAGTATAAGTGGAGCTTACTGTAAGGGGTGGGGTTTGGTTTGGTTGGTTTTGGATTTGTTGTGAACAGTTCTTGCTTGGTTTATTTTTCTCCTAAGGAAGTCTAACAGTAGTCCAGAGTGAAATGAGATTGCATTTACCTTTAAAAAGGAAAAGACCTTATAGTCCTCAGTGCATTGTCAGTATCTGCTACTTCCATATGACCCCCATGTATGGATTTGGGGCTTCAGTTATTCTTGGAGAAGCTTTAGGAGAAAGTATGACTCGCAGGGTATTATATTTTACAAGTCTGCACACTGCTAAACTGGATAGGGAAAATGAATGGGTAAGAGAGCTCCATTCTTGGGAGTTTCTGAATGTGTACTCTGATTATTATATTTTCTTTGTTTCCTCTCTTTCAGGTATTCACTTATAAACAGAGCACAATTACACGCCAAAAAGTGGCGCCTATGCATCAAACGAGCAGAGAGAGCGTGGAAGACATGGCAGCACTTGTGGATCTCCATGAAGGCTCCATTATGCACAATTTATTCCAGCGTTATCAGCAAGATAAAATCTATGTAAGTGTCATGTCCAGAGGGAATGTTTTTGAATGTTTAAGTGCTGTGTATGTTTTGCTGTTCTGTGGTATCTTCTCCTAACGTTCCCCAGTTCTTTGTGTAGCCACATAGAGCTGAAGTGTGCCTTATCTAGTGACTTCTTTCCAACAATGATGGAAGGAGAAGGTAGCTCAGGGCTGGCCATGCAAATCCCTTGGAAACCTTGGAAAACTGGCATGCTACATGTGTTCTTACACTTCCAGTGACAGGGCCATGTAAAGGGCTCTCTGTTTTCTCTTCTTCTTTAGACTCTCTGCCCCAACATGTGCTGTGTACATCACCAGAGAGGGTGTGGTGGGGTTTAGTCTGTGACTACCATTTGAGATCCTGTCAGGCCAAGGTCCAATTCTGATCCACTTCTCCTTTTCTGTTATAGTAGAAAGGGGATGGCATTATGATCATCAAGCTGAGGACCTGTGCTGATACAGATAGTTGGAGTTTGGGGTGTATGAGAAAAGACAGCTGTTTATCAGTTTTAAAAACTAGAAATTAGTCCACACAGAATTCTTTTTCTCAGCTCTGTGATAAAGTTTTTAGTGATTAGGTTTCTATGCTCTTTAAATATTTTTGTTAATCTTGAACTGACTAGATAGGAATCTTTGCCAAATCTGGAACTAAATGTGAGAAGGATAAAAGGAATATTAATGCCTGTTACAGATTGTGAAATCTCACTTTTCATTGTTTCAGTGGTTGGTGTTTCTGGGTTTGTTTGTATTGTTTGGTTTTGGCTTTTTTTTTTAATAAATTTTTGCTTGCATCACCCATCTAGGCCCTTGATTTGGCAGCATACATGCTTTATTTCAAGCTTCATCTGTTAAGTTTGGCTTCTTTATTTTTAAACATGAGCATATCTTAATGTAAAAATAAACTTTCCCTGTATTTGGATGTTTATTTATTATAAAAAAAGCAAAAAAGGGCACAAGGAAATTTATGTGCCTTTGCACATTCCCTTTAAAGTGGCTGGTACAGGAAATCCTAAATGTTGACGCAGTTTTCTTTACAGAAGTCTGTATGTGTGGGATTTTTTTTCTCAAAACAAATGAACCACTTTGCCCTTCAGAAAAATTAGTTAAAAAAAAAATAATTAATAGCATATATGAACAATTCCGCACGTGCAGGGAAAAACAGCTGCTTTTTTATAAGAGTTTAATTTAACACCAGTGTTACTAGATTAGAATGCGATGCTGACAGTGAGTCAAAGTAAAGAAAATGTGTTTTCTGAGCTATTATATGTACTCAGATGGAGGATACTTCCCCCTCTTAAAAAGCATGCATGTAAAAGGGGGTAATTTTTTTAAAGAGGCAAAGAATAGCCTTGTTCTGAGGAGACATGTCCTAGCTTATTTCTTAGCTTGTCAAGGCAAGTTTAGGGTATTCCGATACTTGCTGCTCAGCACTGTGTACGTTTCTAGACAAACAGGTTTGTGTGCTGTTAATGATGACAGATCTTCAGTTGCTGATGAATACTCATTGTCCCTTCAGTGTTCCTGATTTTACTGCTTACGCTTTTGAGTCCACCTTGCCTGAAAAGTGATTGAAAAGGTGATTGGAAAAAAGGTGTGTTTTAAAATGCATACGAAAGCCTCTTTGTTGTCCTGTGTGTGTAACCAGAATCTGATGTAAGATGCATCTTTTTTCCCTCCACATTGGTACACCACTCCTGTTGTGCCAGTGGCAGTGCTTTAGCAGGTCAGAGCTCCAGGAACAGAAACCCCAAGAAGAGCCAATTAAAAAGCTTGAATAATTTTATGAAACTTCATAGATATATGTTGTAGGAGGAGGTGTTGTCGTTGCAAAATGAATCTCGTCTTTTCAAGCCTAAAATATTAACTGTATTGAACAGTCCAAAGATATTTTAATATTTGACGGGTTTTTACAAAAAAAAATAAAGACTGAAAGATGCATTAAGCTTACCTTTTTTGGAGGCATACTTGCAGTTGAAGAAAATAGGTTCCTGATCATTCTCCTTTGGGACGAAGCTAGTTGTTGTACAGGACGGTAGAAGCCGTTGGGGTTCATGCCAGGAACAATCAAAACTCTCCAGGTTGTGTATTTGTCCACAGTGTCCTCTCCCTGGACCAGGGATTGCTTCATCAGTGTAGTGCACGTGCTGGCTCTTGCATCCATCTTGGCACTTTGTCTGTGTATGTCCCTTGTGTGTTAGGGATAAATCAGAAATGCATGTGCCCCTCTCTGCTCTGAGCTGAAGGTCTGATCATCCATTGAAAGACTTCCTGCCATCCCCAAATATAAGCTTCCAAGGCTTTGCCATATGCTGGCTTTTAGTTTACAGATCCCTCTTCGGCTCTGTGCACCTTGTCCACATCCTCACCATGGGGAAAATACATGCAGAGGTATACGCTGGCATCTTTTCAGTTATACCCTTGCAGTATTATTGTGGTTCCTGAGTCTTGACAGCTTTTCTTTAGTTTTCCAAGTGTCCTTGAGACTAGGAGGCACCTTTGTACCCTTAATGAGGAATGTGCTTAATTAGGACGTAAGTTTTGGGGCTTGCTTCTTCACATACACACACGAAAATTATATGAAGTGCATTATACTAAATTGTAGTGTAAAGTATCTATAACTTCAGGAATACAGAATAAACAATTAAAAGAAATTTGAAACAGTTGCTTTCTCAGGAAGACAATTTTTTATGTAAATCTTCCACTGTCAACTTGTGGTTTTGTCTATATTTGAAGAGCTGCTTCTCCAGCAGTGAGCATTTAAGTAAATATCTTCAGATGTTTCAGTTCATTTCGATCTCCATTTACTTAATAATGTATTTGTCTCACTTAATCATACTCATGCTCCTAAACTTTTCACTACTTCCTAATTAATACTATAAAGATGTTTGCTATGGATGCCAAGTTTTGTCAAACATGTCAATGACTTTTCTTTGCTGCTGCAAACAGCTGCAGCTATAAAGGGTCAGCAGAGGGTTTTCTGTTTCTTGCTGTTTGTTTGGGAGTGAGGAATATTGGTTTAGCATACAGATGGTATTCTTAGGATAAATTATCCCAACTCTGTGCCTAATGAGTTGAGGCTCTTAGCTGAATCTTTACTGTTATCAGGAAGGTAAATGACTAAAATTGTTTGTGTCTGTGTGTCAAGTCTGTTGACATCTTCTTGTGGTATTTTTTGTTTGAAAATCTGTATAGCAGCTTTCCAGTACCCAAAGGGGGCCTGTAAGAAATCTGGAGAGTCTCCTAATACTACAAGGGCATGTAGTGGTAGGACAAGGGGCAATGTATCTGAACTGAAATAGGGTACATTTAGATCAGATGTAAGGAAGGGTACATTTAGATCAGATGTGAGAGAGGTGACACGCTGCAGCACATTGCCTAGAGAAGTTGTGGATGCTCCATCAAGGGATGTGTTCAAGGCCAGATTGGATGGAGCTTTGAGCAAGCTGGCCTAGTGGGAGGTGCCCCTGCCCATGACAGGAGGGTTGGAACTAGATGATCTAAACATTCCTTTCCAATCCAAACCGGTCTATGGTTCTATGAAGAGTGCATGATTTGCCTTTTTGGCCTGTGAGAAGCATGAGATGTACAAGACCTTTCTTAATTAGTTAAAGCAGGCTCCTATCTGATTTTTTTTCAGGTTTCTTTAGCTAAAAGCAGTATTAATCATTTGCTTCTGGGGTCTCACCGCTGTTGTTGCCCTGGAAAGAAGCAGAGTTAGAACTGCAGTGATCACATGGTGCAGGGGTTTTCATTGCTACTTCCTCCCCTATCTTATTTCATCAGGAAGAACTTGATAGGGAGGTCCAGCTTCTGGACAAGGGCATATAAGAACCCTCAGGTTAGTTTGAATGCTAGGCTGGTATTTTGGCAAAATATGGAAGGATAAATACTAGTGCTAAAAGTGGAAGGTGCCCACGTTTGAGAACTGAGCCTTTTGTGAAGGCGACTGAGGGATTTTGTCACCTCTGAAGCAAGGCCAGCACGGGGCACGCGATGTGGGGAGGGGAGGTGGTGTGGCGGCTGATCTTGTCCCCCTTCAAAGGCGAGTTGTTCCCAAAGCTGTTGATTCTGGTTTACTTTCAGTTAAGTACATATTGCAGAGGAGACTGAGTTAGTCTTGGAGAGGATGCTGTAGACCACACCATGTGGTTTGTGCTGCAAGACACACCAATTAGGGTGTTTGAGCTGGCTCTGGGATGAGCTGCGGTTGTCTTCTCCCTGTGGCCAGCAGTTAGTTACTGGTGCAGGCGAGCAGATTTCAGAAGAGCAGACCAGAGGAGCAGAGAGCAGCTTTTGCTGGGGTGGGAGATGGGTTGGAAGTAACTGCAGTATATGATGTGCAGGTCAGTATGGAGGTTTTCAGATCAGATCCACTCTTGCTTGCCTGAGTTCAAGCAATAAACAAGTTTCAAAGCAGATGTGATTAGTTTTTTGCTTTTGAATTAATCTCTGAAGTGCCAAATAGGCATGTTCTCCTTTGAAGTGGTGATTTGACACGTGCCTGTCTTGTTTAGGTGGAGGACACGTACCCAGAGAAGTGTGCAGTGTGGGGTGGGGTGTGGCAGTCCCTTGGCCACCCTCTCCTGATGGGAAGAGTGGCCTCCAAGTTGTCTAGCATTTGGGTGTGGTGGCCAGGATGGGTGAGAGAGAACACAACCTATTTTTGCTCACTTCCAAATTAGTACTGCAGCTTGCAGTAATTATAATCATCCATTGGGTTTGTGTATAAAAACTTCTGTACCAGCCACGTAGACATGTAGTGCTGTACCAGCCACATCCACATCAGAGAGAGAACGATGGTAATTAGATGCTCAGTTTTTGTGGCTGGCTTCATTTGTCTCTTCAGCTGAAGCAGCAAACATGGAACAGCTTGGATAAGAAAGCAACATTTCTCTGATTTTTTCTTAAAAAGGTGTTAAACTGGAAAAGTTGTCTCTTTCTTGACAAGGCAGCTTGCAGAGCTCCTTTGCACTTCATTACACTGAATACTCAGTT